ATTTCCCTACGTTATTTACACAACATTTAACTACTATAAGCATCTGTTTAAAAATATTTAAAAACAAGAAGTATTATTAATGTACTCATCTCTATAGGAAAATGTCTTTAGATTTGTCTTAAAAGAATCCAACGAAGGTGAAAGCCGAATCTCACACGGTACTGAGTTCTTAGAGTAGGTCCTGCCTTCAAAAAGGCACGATCACCAAAAGACTTTCTACGTGTTCTTGGAACATGAAGAAGCCCTAGTTCGTCCGATCTCAAAGAGTAGTTATTACTTTGTTTATAAGTCAACATATTTGGGAGCCAATCCATGCAGAGCTTTATAAACCAACAGTACGATCTTGAATATAACACGATATTTAACCGGTAACCAATGTAGTCTCATTAATGTAGGTGTAATATGATCAAACTTAGGTACAAGACATACAACACGAGCAGCAGCGTTTAGCACTTTCTGCAATCGATTTAATTGATATTTTGGAATTCCATACAGCAAAGAATTGCAATAATCCAAATGGGATGTAATAAATGCATGAACTAAAATTTTGGTAGCATCGTCAGTTAAATATTTCCTGATTTGTTTGATATGTTAAAGGCTTCGAAAGGCCTTGCTGCAGATTTTGCTTATATGCAAATTCATGGACATGTGAGTATCTAACCAAGACCCAAGATCACGAACAGCGCCTACTGGAGAAATCAATACTTCTCCTACCCTCAATTTGTCAATCGATACCTTGGATAATTGCTGACGAGAGCCAATGATAATAAATTCTGTCTTGCTACTTTGAATAAAAAGACGATGTGCAGACATCCAGTTTCGAAGCTCATCAATACAATCTTCCATTGCTTTAACAGCTGACTCCTGATGCAATGAGTTCTGAGGTTTAAAAGAAAGATACAATTGTGTGTCATCTGCATTAGCATGATGACAAGGCAGATGTTTAGAAATAATCTCAGAAAGGCCAGACACGTAAAGTAAAAATTGAACAGGACCCAGGCAGCTGCCTTGGGGAACTCCAGTAGCAACCATAAATTCGGAGGACTTACACCGATCAATGACAACTTGCTGCTTTCTATTAGCCAGATACGATCTAAACCACTGGAGTGCGCTGTCCACTACTCCAAAATCATTCTTGAGGATATCAGTAAGAATATTATGGTCTATAGTGTCAAAGGCAGCACTCATGTCGAGCATAACAAGCAACGTAACCTCTTCGTTGTCCATATTAATAAGTATGTCATCCTGCACTTTAAGCAGCGCAGTTTCAGTTGAATGGAACTGACGATATGCTGATTGACTGACAGGCAGTGGTGCATTTTCGTTACAATGATTAACTAATTGCGACATGACAACTTTCTCAGCTACCTTTGCAAGAAAATGAAGATTATTAACAGGTCTAAAATTTTCAAACACTAAATCCATACCCAGTTTCTTAAGACGGGGATCTACAAGTGCCAATTTCCAATTTTCAGGAACTATTCCTTTCTCCAGCGACATGTTGATCATTTTTGTAATTATCGGACACAGAACATCACAGCAATCCTTAAGCAAATAAGTTGGTATTGGATCAAGTTGACAAGAGGCATTTGATGCTTTCGAAATAACTCCTCGTATATCATCTTGCGACACAGGAGAAAAGGATTTAAGCAATACTTCAGGTAAACGATGTTCAGTAGTTATTGGATTAACATCAATCTTATTAATTTCGTCGTTGATAAGTTCAATCTTTCGACCGAAAAATGTTCCAAATTCGTTCGCCAGAATCAACGGATCCTCATAAGGTGGTAAACTTTCAGATGACTTCTGTTTGGACAATGAATTGATAACACGAAACAATTTCTTAGAATTGCCTGAGCATTTGTCAATTAAATCAGAATAATAGCTAGTCTTTGTTTTACGAAGAAGGGCACTGTATTTATCTCTAGTCTTATAATAAAGCTCTTTATCATGGGAACAACCAGATTGAAGCATTTTTCTTTCGCATTTCCGTCGTTCAGCTTTAAGCTTTTTAAGATCATCAGTGAACCAAGATACAACAGGTCTCATAACCATCTTTTTCGTCTTAATAGGAGCGTGTTTATCAAGAAGATTTAACAAAGTCGTATCATAACAACGTGTAAACTCATCAATATCCGAAAAGGAATTGACACATAATTCAGACCCGGAAATATCGTTTTTGAACATGGGAATGTCTATCCTTTTCAACTGACGGAATCGAAGTTCCTTAACAACAAAATTTGGCTTAGGCATATTCAAATTACACTCGATGAACGAATGATCAGATAAAGCCAACGTAGATTCTAATTCAGTTATAATCACATCATTAATTGATCTAGATATTATAAGATCTAGAGTATGTCCAGAAGTATGAGTTGGACAGGCAACATGTTGGGTTAAACCAAATGTTTCCAAAAGCTCACAGAATCTTTTGGCATTAGTATCGTCAGTAGATTCTACGTGGAAATTAAAATCGCCTGAAATAAGTAACCTCTCAGTTGATATTACAATACTTTCAAGGTAGGTAGAAAATTCCTCAAAAAACAAACTCACGGGTTGAGGATAGTTAGTAGAGGATGGCGGACGATACACACCAACAAGTTTAATAACTTGATTTTGAATTGTTACATTCCACTCAGAAAATTCAAACGATCTGAACTGATTAGCGTCCATCAACTTAGTTCTCATTATACTCTTGTACATAACTCCAACTCCCCCGCCTGATCTATCATTTTCTCTGGGCGAATTTTGAAAACAGTAACCATTAGGAGAAAGAGCGGCAATCGTAACCGAGTCAACATCTTTCAGCCAGGTTTCAGTAAAAACACAAATGTCAATTTTAGAATTCACAACATGGTCAACAACATCTGCTCTTTTGTTTCTTAGAGACCGAGCATTAACACAAGCAAATCTGAGACAAGTTAGTTTCTTTGGCATTACGTCAGCATCATTTTGGTTTCCGTTTAACGATTCAGTCAAGGGAATATTAATTAAATTATTATAATTCACACCGGTAAAGTTTACCGTGGTAGAAGTTTCCAATGTTTCTGGACTCAGTAATAAAAGTTTAACCATCCTATTTTGTCTCTCATCGAGAGACCCGTACAAAAACCCTCATTGTTGGTTTTTCTGTGATTGTTATGACTTTTGTTTAATCGAATATAGGTTTATATCGAATATAGGTTTATATCGACGTGATTAAAAAACGCGTCCGAGCCATGTTTTCTTTTGAATATATTGCGCCATTTTGGTATCAACAAGAAGCTCAGGAACCAGGCTTTTTAATACGAAAGGACAGGAGGGGAAATTTAATATGTATCCAGAGGGGAGAATGCGCTGTATTTGACCAAATTTTTATCATATCTTAGTTGTAATTTATGCACGAATGAGAGCCATAGCTTGAATAAATGTCTCAGCGAATACGCGAACTATATAATACGTGTAAAAATACTATTTTAAAACAATATCATTTGAATAATTCGAGCAATATTTCTGTCTGGCTTCGCTTTGCTTAAATTAGAGTTAATTTAAATTAGTTAAACCAAGTACCCCTCAAGTAGCCGCTGTACAAGGCAGGCGCATGTCTCGCATTTCTGGCCATGCCGTGGTTCAGGAATGTGAGAGTTGTATGGTAAAAGTGCGTATTGTAAAAGGTTCTCGATGTTAGTACCAGGAATGTCTCTTCCATGATAAACAATCTTCCCCTGAGGATTCCAAGTTAAAATATCGCTTGATATGAGAATCGAATGTAGCATTTTTTCTGCTGTAGTTTTTTTTACATTATTGTTGAGATACAAAAGTATATCTTCAATGCGCCAATGTCGCGGAGATGTTTTAGCGTCCATGTTCATTGTTGAAATGATGTATAAATTGCAGTCACAAGGCTTTTATACAAGTTCAGCCAGGCTTTCCAAAATAGGACTTAGTAATGTCCAAGGAAACCTTTACCATGTTGAACGAGTATCCGTTTTTTATCCAACCTAAGCATTTCATGTTTGTAAGGTCTGAGTTTCTTCATCACATACTTCGGCATTAAATATTTTCTTTTCATAGCGTTTTCTGCAGAGACACAGGCAGTGTACTTGCTCGGCGGTTGCTGTTTCCAGTAGTGCTTGTTGTTGATCAGGCTCAGATGTGCACAGCAGTTCAAGAAATGGCTTGTGCCTTAGAAGATTGATAATTTCTGTTCGATGGCTTGGAAGCAAATGAGTAAAACACAACAATAAGGAAGCTTATATTAGAAAGAAAGCAGGTGAAAAGCTATTTGGACTAAGCTCCAAGCTTTCATTGAACAACAGCCATGATGGCGGATGGTCATGCTAAGGTTAGCTCCATAGATATTCCCAATACTAAATTTAATGTTGGAAATGTGAATTTGGACGATATTCGAACGCATAAAAACAACAACACTCTTGTCTATGATGGGAAACGTTTAAAGTGGAACGGCAACGATGATGAACTGGAGACATGGGCGTACCGGAAGCAAAAATTAGGGGGGCGGAAAGAAAATTGCCCAACTTTTCGTGATTTTGCCCGACTAGTACCAAAAAAATTTTTCCGGAAAACTTTTTTTGGCGCCCCCCCCCCCTCCGGACAACCAATATTTTTCGGAACATACACAAAATGTTCGAAAAATCACAAAATTTGCCAAGAAATTGACTTAATTTTAGACAACATTTACAGAATTTGTCACATTTTTTTTATTGCAAGCCAAAATTGCCAGACTGTTGATCGAATATTGCCCGACTGCCCAAAAAACTGGGGGGCTGCCGCCCCCCCCGCCCCCCCCCCGCCCGGTACGCCTATGACTGGAGAGTTTTATTCAAAATACCGTTGGTTTGAGCGGTAAATGGATTTCACCTGGCGGGAACTCTAAGAAGTTTATAAGCAACTCAGATCTGACAATAACTTGGTATCGCGGCAAACAACGAACATTAGTTGTCCAAGGTAGCGAAGGGGAGTCTTTAAAGGAATTACTGGTAAGCCTAAATAGTGAACTTATGTTGCCCCATCAGAGTGACAGAGGCGTACAGTCTGCCGAAGTCTCAGTAATAACTTGCACCGGTGATATAAGCGAAGTAAGCAACCTAACAACCGAGAATGATTATGGAGCCGAGATTCCTGTCGCCAAAATAGATATAATATCACCTATTGATAATTCGTCGCTTGCGGAGCTTGAGAATTTTATTGACGATTCATTTTGTAATATTATGAACTCCCGACACAGTGAAGTAACGAAGGGTACTGTGGAAGTATTTGTAAATTCTACCCCCTTTAAACAACGCGAGAGCGACAGCGCCACTATAAAAAATGCATTATTTGACAATTTTAAAGAGAAGGTTGAATATGAAATATCAAATTTATTGGCTAAACTCACCGAGCAAGACGAACTATCAACATAAATAAGCAAGATATATGCAAATTGCGTGAAGAAAATTTGCATCTCAAATCGCATATCTCCAAATTAGAAGGAAAGATGGCCTCGGCCTCCATAGAAAAATTCCCTGGTGCTATTGAAATATCTTGTGTCACACCTACAACGCAGTACGTCCCCATAAGCACTAAGAAAAAGGCCAACGAAGACCGACTACCGGAAAGTAATGTGCCTAATATGCAGTCCAATCCAGAAGTTAGCGTACCTACTTATGAAAATTTGACCTTGCAACCGCGAACCCAGCAGACAAATAAGAATCGTTACGACCGCCCCCCAAAGAATTCCACTCCTTGTCAATTTCTTCTGCGTCGAGGTTGGTGTCGAAAGGGAGACCGATGCGACTTTCAGCATCTTAAACCATCTCGCAATACACATAAACATAATGTCCCCTGTCCTTTTTTGCAGAACAGAGGCTTCTGTCTGAAAGACGATCGATGTGATTTCTCCCACGCTTGGGTACCAACCAGAAGGTCGGTATTAAAAACCACTACTAGTAGCCATTTGCCACCTGCCTCCTCTTTTTTATCCCGAGCGCAAGTGCCATTGCCACCAAACGTCCACACAGCCCAACCTCAGCAGCTCCAAACGTACAGCCTACACCCATGGCGACCCCCATCTTATCCAAGGCCGTTAATGGAAATCCCACTACCCTCGTCCAGTTTTCCCCGATTATCCTCCCAGATCCACCAAAACAGATTTTACTAAATCCTTCTAAACAGAGCTCCACTCCATGTATTTCCCTTGAGTCCTCTCCCACGTCAATGGCTCGTCAAATACCAGTGAGAACTTCCTACCGGAACGGCAGAACGATGCGGAATGCGCTAATTACAAATAAGAGGGGTAATAGGCGTAAGCGTAACACCAACTTGATACAAGTGAGAATTTTAAAACCAGGCCGCCCCCTGTCTCCAAGATTATACCTAAATGTTTGGTAATTAACGCTAGATCACTGGCCAAACCAGATGCTGCGTCGGCACTTAATGCTGAATTGAGTACAAACGATGTTGACATTTGCATAATATCTGAGACGTGGCTCATAGAGAAAATACAGTCCAGTCTTATTTGTCCTAGCGGTTATACTTTTGTGAGAAAAGATCGCAGTGCGTGTCGACATGGTGGTGGTGTTGCAATTATTTGCCGAAGTGATTGGAAAGTTAAAAAACTTGCTTTGCAAAATAACTTCGAATGCTTGTGGTGCGAAATTCAGACAAAAAATAGCAAATATCACATTGGAGGAGTTTATTACCCACCTGACCCAGAGTACTCTGAATCCGAATTTCTAGATCATTTGTCGGACAGTTGCGAGCAGATTTTACTCACTGAACCTAACGCTAGGTTAATTATCGCTGGTGACATAAACCAACTAAGGATACAAGATCTTTGTAACCAACATAACCTAAAACAACTGGTCAAAAAGTCTACCAGAGGTCCTAGAATATTGGACGTATTTTTGACGAATTGCCCTCACTTGTGGAAACAACCCACTGTATTCAAAGGTCTAGTTAGGTCCGATCATTTGGCGGTTATGGTCACACCAAGGCACCAAGCTAGATCCGAACGAAAACATGTCTACTTTAGAGATGTTAGGCACCACCGAAAGATTGTTATTGAGAATAAATTAAAAGTTTTCGACTGGAGTAAAGTCAATAGTGCTAATGATGCTGAGGAAGCAGTGTTGCTCCTGAACCAAGAAATTGTTTTAATGTTCAACGAGAGTTTTCCTCTAATCAAGATTAAAACTTCCTCACTTGACCCACCTTATATGTCCCCATTAGTGAAACAGTTATGTAAAATACGAAACAAACAAATAAGTAGAGGAGCCAACACTGAACTTCAGGAGAGAATAAATAAACTTATTCGAGATAATCAAATTCGTGCTGTGTCGAATGATAATAAAAAGTATAAACAAGGGGCGAAAGGTTGGTGGAATACTGTCAATAAAATCACGGGCAGAAGTATAAAATCCCATAACATTAGTTCCTCCATCGATCCAAATACTATTAACACCTATTTTCAAAGCGTAAATACGGACACTCAGTATACACCACCACAACCCTTAACAATCTCCCAAGAAATTCGAATCCCGAAGGTTGATATACAAACAGTTGAAACGTTCATGATAGAACAAAAACGAACTTCACCAGGCCCTGATGGACTTCCATACTGGCTGTGGAAAGACTACGCTCACTATCTTGCACCTGTACTTACTAAAGTATTAAATCTTTCCTTGCATGAACAGCACGTTCCCTCGCTTTGGAAACTCGCAAATATTAGCCCAATACAAAAAGAGTCAACATTATCAGACTGCAGCCAGCTAAGACCCATATCATTGACTAATATCATCATGAGACTTTTTGAGAAAATTGTTTTTAGGGAAGAGATTTTAGAACACTCTAAGTTAATCATTGGCCATGATCAGTTTGCCTATAAAAAAGGAACAAATACAACGTCAGCCCTTATTAAATGTCAACATCATTGGCTGAAATGGTTGGACGAAGATGCCGAGTTTGTAAGGGTTTTATCTTTTGATTTTAGAAAAGCCTTTGACTCGGTCCCGCATGATATCGTAACTGGAAAACTTAAACAAACAAACCTAAATCCTTATATCATCAATTAGATTATAAGTTTTCTGACGAATCGAAAACAAAAGGTCGTGGTGGACGGAATTATAACAAGATATGTAGATATTAACAAGGGAGTGCCACAGGGAACCGTCATTGGCCCGTTTCTATTTTCTCTTATGGTTGATGACATTAAACCCAAACAACCTGAAACTAATGTATTGGTTAAATTTGCTGATGACATGACAGTTAGTGCACCAGTAAAGTCAAATAGTGATTATGCAACAATGGAAGTGAGGAACATCAAGAACTGGGCAAGGAGAAACAGAATGACTCTAAATCTAACAAAAACATGGGAGATGCTTCTGAGTGGCGGAACGTCTAAGCCGCCACCAGCGCCTATAGAAGGTATTGAACGCAAGGAATGGCTAAAACTGCTAGGTGTTACTTTCAAGGACGATGTGTGCTGCTGGGACCTGCACGTTAATGGCTTGTTGTCGAAGGCCGGAAGCCGAATGTATATTTTAAGAGTATGTAGAAGGTATGGATATCGGAAGGAACATCTCAGCTATCTTTTTGACTCAATAATACTATCGTTGTTTTTATACGGTATTGAAATTTGGGGCTCAGCTCTTCAAAAGAAATATTTAGAACGCATTGACAAGTTTCTTAAGCGAGCGTATCGATATGGTTATGTACTAAAAGAGTATAAAATATCTGAGCTGATTGAAACGAGAGACAGAATTCTATTCAATAGGATTTTAGATAATCCAGAACATATTTTATATGAACTACTGCCTGAAAAAAGACAAAAAATTTAAGAAAACGTGATCATCCTTTCATCCTACCTCAAGTCAGAACTAAAATATTTAAGCGTTCCTTTGTAAATAGGTGTCTGTTTGACTATTTTTAGTTTTTGTTGCATGCGTATAAATTATCTTAAATTATTACATTAATATTGTAAATATAGTAAATAGTATATTTTAAAATTGTAACAAAAATCATGTAGAGACACACGTCTGTTGTGTCTAAGGATTACCAAAATAAAGATTTTTATTATTATTATTATTATAAAACAAGTTTTATAAAGTTTATAATAGCGACTTGAAGTTATATCGGACACGTTAGATATATCGTACGAATTATTTGGTGTTAAAGAGGATTGTTCAAAGACTCGCTAAGAAGTAAGTTGCCGGGAAAGAACATGTATGTACCATTCATACTTTACTCACGTTCGTTTTATATTTTTATACTTTTAGATCGAATAAAATTATTGAGATATTTAATACGTTCAATTGACTATACGATTCGCGGGTCTTTGACGGTAATATATTGAGTTCTGTCGAACTGAACGGACCAAATATAGTCATGCACGAGTTACTAAAAAATACTTGTTCCATTGTTACTATTGCTGCTGCTGTTGTTATTATTAATACTGTTACTGTTACAAAAAAATAAACATGAACATCATTTTGTCTTCAGTCTTGTAACTTTAACTCTCGCGGCTTTGCAACAACTAGAAAATCATCTGGTTGAACGATGAGTTGTGGTGTGGACACTTTAGTAGTTGGCACCTCTGCTCCTTCAGGCAACTCAATCTTGTAACGATGTAATAATATTGAAGCAAATGACAACATCATTACCCTTGCCAAAGATTGACCAGGACATTCTCTACGACCAACGCTAAACGGCATGAATCCATGTAGTTTATTCCAGCCGACGAACTTGCCATCCTCATCCAGAAATCTTTCAGGTTTAAATTTCTCCGGTTCTGGCCATTCTCGTTCATCTTTATGCAACTTTGTGAGATTCAAGCCGACAAATGTTCCTTTTGGAATGGGGTAGCCAGCAATGGTTGTGTCACGAATCGTATTTGTTCCGACGACCGTCGTCATGCCTGATGCCCTTCCGACTTCACATAATGTAGCTTGAAGGTATGGGAAGCTTTTCGCATCTTTCCAGTTCGGTAGACGATCACGTCCCACAACTTCGTCCAATTCTTCGTGTATTTTGCTTTGCACATTGGGATATAAGACCATATAAAGAAAAAACCAAGTTAGCCATGTTGAAGTAGTTGATGATCCCACATAAATTACATTCAGCATCAAGCCTGGAATACTATCTTTCGAGCCAATATCTTTCCTTGTCTCTTTGGCAAGTTCCTTTTCATAAGCACTGATGAAGCTGTCTGTGAGATCTCGTATTGTGCCTGGAATATAACTCTCTTGGTGTGCTCGATATTCCATGGGGAAAATTGTTTCCCTAATCTGTACTGCTCGCTTTATTTCCCGAGTAAGTTGCGTGGGTAAGTAACATAGGAACGGAAACAACTGATACATTGTACTAAGTAGCGCTTGTCTGCTGAAAATCGCGTTAAATTCGTTGCTTTCCTTCACAATTGGGTCGTCTAGCGCTATCTTTTTCGCTGTAAGCCATTCCCAAAGTTGTACCACTATGGAGGATTCGAGGAGATTTTTAGGTGAAAAGGATTTCCCTGGTTCATTTTCGATTTCTTCCATTGCGATGTCAACAGCGTGACCAGCACGGACCGATGCTTGCCCTATCCCAGCGCCAAAAATATGCATTGCTGATACGAACACTTTCTTCTCAAAAAGATATGCGTCTGAGTAATCACGTGCGGAGAAAGTACCGCCCACTATCTCTTTAAGAGGATATATAGACTCCGGTGATTTTCCCATAAGATCTTCTTGTCTCCCGGGGGCAAGCCTTGCTTCACGCACTAGAGATGCTGTATTCAGGATAACCGCGTTGCCGCTTGGAAAAGTGACAGTGAAAATGTCTCCATATTTCTCAGATAGTTTATCAAATGGTCTGATAGGATCTGCAGAGATGATTTGGGGAATGTTTCCAAGGAACGGATAGGGAACTGGTCCGGGGGGCATGTTCTTTCTTTTCATATAGGTAGTGATAAAGTACCAAATAAACCAAACGAGAAACAGAGTGACAATAACCTCGATAATCATCATGTACCTGTAAACACAAATTTTCTTTCTTTATTATAACGTTATTGATTTATTGAAGTAAATCTTCAAGAAATGGAGTAAAATTTGAAAGAAAGATATGCATACTATGATATATTGTTCGCGCTCATCGAAATATGAGAGAAGTATTCTTTCTAGACATTAGCAAATTGGCTGATGGCAAGGCTAAAAGTTGTGGCTAGAAATTCCCTGACGACAAGGTGATGCTAGAAATAAAGAGCATCAGCCATATTTTCGTTTCATAACTTTTTGTTTGTTATGTAGTCATTTTCAAATTTGCAGGAATCCTGCAACAGTGACATCACTGCTACTAGTGATAACGAACCCAGGCCCAATACGTCAAGAGGTAGCGTTGGACCTACTGTACACGGGCGTGGAAAAGCTACTGGGCGTAGACGTGGTACGAATGCTAATGGTACGCAAG